CTGCGTGTAAGGAGGCCATATACCTACGGCGTCTTATAGTGGAGATTGGCTGCGGTGACTCGAGTACTCCAACTATTCTTCATGGCGATAATTTAAGTGCTCAACAATTAGCTAAGAATCCTGTACACCATGAAAGAACAAAGCATATTGATATTAGATATCATTTTGCAAGACAGGTTGTAAACGAAGAACAAATTGTTTTACAGTATACATCAACCAATGAAATGATAGCTGATATTTTAACGAAAAATCTCCCTAAAGCGAAGCATGTTCATTTTACAAAGCTGTTAAATTTGATTTGAAAATTTTTGTAAAACATGTTTGCATTGAGGAAGGGTGTTGAAAATCAATACAAACATAAGTACCAATGCACGCATGTTAATATAAGCAGATAATAATCTTATGTTATCTACAAGTTATCTGTCACTGTTGCATACGAATGTAAGCATAAAGAATATGTATAGCAAAAGTGTCAGTCTCCAATAAAACTCTAAAGCGAACAGACGCACGGCGGTCCGCGACTATTGTCTTTTACTTTACTCCTACTGAGCCCTTCCCTTTTTCAGCGAATATATAATCTATTCAATAAAAAGCACCGCCTGGATGTTAGGTAGAACACCACCCTGAGCAATGGTTACGCCCGAGAGGAGCTTGTTTAACTCCTCGTCATTACGAATAGCCAGTTGCAGGTGACGTGGAATTATGCGCGTCTTTTTATTATCGCGTGCTGCATTGCCAGCCAACTCCAGAACTTCAGCGGCTAAATATTCCATAACAGCAGCCAGGTAAACAGGAGCGCCGGCACCAACACGTTCAGCATAGTTACCCTTGCGAAGCAGGCGGTGGATACGGCCAACTGGGAATTGAAGGCCAGCTCGATTCGAACGCGACTTTGCCTTTCCCTTTACTTTACCACCTTTACCACGACCAGACATTTTCTATTTTTTTTTTTTTATTTCACAAATACACTTCTCACTGGCTCACTGGCTCACACACAAATGTTGATGTCCGACCAAGTGTTAGGCCTTTATATTTATACTTTTTTAAGCATCATATACGCTCTGCTAAGGGTTGGACGGCTTCTTATAAGTTAAACCTGAAGGCGATGTTAAACAAAAATATACAAATATGTAGCATTCAGTGGTAGAAAAATATTGCTAAAGCAACTGTGAAGTGTTGTGTTATTTTAACTCAAGTGAATTAAATTAATCTGAAGTGAAAAATGCCGCCAAAGACCAGTGGAAAGGCAGCGAAAAAGGCTGGTAAAGCCCAGAAAAATATAACCAAGAACGACAAGAAGAAGAAGCGCAAGAGGAAGGAGAGTTATGCCATCTACATATACAAAGTTCTGAAGCAGGTTCATCCTGATACAGGCATTTCATCGAAGGCAATGAGCATCATGAACAGTTTTGTGAATGACATTTTCGAGCGCATTGCTGCTGAAGCTTCCCGTTTGGCCCACTATAATAAACGATCGACAATAACGAGTCGCGAAATCCAAACGGCAGTCCGCCTACTTCTGCCCGGTGAATTGGCTAAGCACGCCGTAAGTGAAGGCACCAAAGCCGTTACCAAGTACACCAGCTCAAAGTAAATGTCTGATCGCCCGCTTCATAGCAGCAACAACGTTCCAAAAGGCCCTTTTCAGGGCCATCAAATTTTTCATAAGCAGAGTTAATAATTTTCATACATTTCTTTTAAATAAAATTTACATGGCACCCCTTTACTGTGATAAAAAACAAAATCTATTATAATGGGCGAACATATATATTAATATAACTATTTTGGTCAATATTTATAAACAAACTATTTTTACAAATCATATCGTTCACCTATATGATATGCAGTTCTTATTGCTTGAAATCGACTGAAACAAAACAATTTTTAGTCACCCATTTTTATGAGAATCGTGGAGGAGGACCGGACCGTATACAATTCCATTGTACTTGCATCAGCTAAGTTTATCGTAATTTGCTTCGAAAAATGATTAAATTATTTATTAATTTTATTAATATACGTTTTTTTTAAACTTTTGTGCTCAAAGTGAAACATTTTTCAATTCTCATTATTTTTGTTACAAAATTAACTAACAAATTATGGTCTAAAACCATTTGTAACAGTTTTAAACAAAAATTGTTAAATTTTTCATACATATACTTGTACACCTAGAAGTAATAACAAATATATTAACAAAATTAGAAAAAGATAAGATTATTTGAAACCATTTAAATCACATTTGAAAATTATTTTTTCTCTTTCTTAGTTGTTTGTAGCCCTGAAAAGGGCTTTGTTTCAAATGAATTTTTATATTTGCATATACAAAATTTCACATATGCATTCATTTCTTGACTACTGCTGTCATTTGCCTTTTTGGCGGAAGCTGCAGCCTTTGGTTTTTTCGGTGCCGATGCTGTCTTCTTTGGCTTGGCACTAGTAGTAGTAGTTTTGGCCTTTGGAGTTTTTGGTTTTACAGCACTCGATTTAGGCTTCGATGTAGTTGATTTTGCCTTAACTGTACCACTTTTCTTTGCGTCTTTTGCCTTTGCCTTCTCCTTTGTCTTTTTCTCGGCAGTCTTTTTAGTGGCAGCAGATTTTTTAACTTTAGATTTCTTGTCACCGGCTGCAGAGGCCTTCTTGGCGACGCCGCTCGACTTCTTTTTAGCTGCTCCAGATGGTGCAACTTTTTTCTTATTTTTCTCGACGGAACTGACTTTTGGCTTTGGCTCTTTTTTAGCGGCCGCAGATAATTTAAACGAACCAGATGCGCCTTTGCCTTTTGTTTGGATGAGTTTTCCATTTACAACAGCTGACTTCAAATATTTCTTAATGAACGGGGCCAATTTCTGGGCATCGCATTTATATGTGGCACTAATGTACTTTTTAATTGCCAAAAGTGATGACCCACCGCGCTCCTTCAAATTCTTGATTGACGCGTCGACCATTTGCTGGGTTGGCGGATGTGATGGTGGAGCTGTAGCTTTTTTCGATTTGGCGGCAGTTGCCTTCTTGACAGTGACCTTTTTCTCCGCTTGTGCAATGGCAATCGGAGAGGCGGCCGATGTAACAGCTACGATAGAATCAGACATTTCTTTTAACTTCACTTTCACACTTGTAAAATTATAAAACGGTTTGCTTTCAGAAATTTTACGAATTTTTAGTCACCCATTTTTATGAGAATCGTGGAGGAGGGCGGTATACAAATGAATGTGGCATTGGTCGTTCTCGACAGCTAAGTTTATGGCAATCTAAAAGGTAATTTGCTTCGAAAAATGATTAGATGTAAAAAAAATCATTTGAAATGCAATTTAATAATATCTATAAGCTTGACAGAGTTTAATAAACTTAAGTTTGTGTAGATACTTTTGTGAGTTCATTTTTAAATGGCACTCAAAGTGAAACATTATTCTTTAATGGTCAATAATTTTGCTTACAAAATGAATTTATTATAAGAAATTATGCTATAAAATCATTTGTAACGGGTTTTAAAACAAAATTTAAACAATTTTGTATACAAATCTAAACGAATGATTTATTAAAATGCAAAAAAATATATTTATTGAATGCTTTCAAAGTAGCCCTACCTTGCATAAAACGACCATCGGAGTAGCATATAGCATTCAAACAAATTACCAAATATAGTTTAAGAATATAGTTTTAAAAGTCCAATTTATTTTAGCATTCATTCAAAAGAAGTTAAACTTGCTTTAATAATTTGTTAAGTATTTAAGATTTTATATTATCATTTCTGGACCCATTATAAGTTGTTAACGAATTTCCAAGGAGTCATAAAAAAATGGAGTTTGATAACTTACAAGTACTAACAAATGTATTAACAAAACTAGAAAGAGTTAGTTATTAAATAAATAATAAATTCCGAGTTTTAAACGTGTTTTGTTATGTTATAAGTAGTTTCGCATGTTTGTCTAAATAGCAGGAAAATCCATTGCTCTATTTAATTCAAGTGCTTTATTTTGTATTTTGAAAAATATAACAATATACAAGTATTATTTAAGTAAAAAATTTATTAAATAAATAACAAATTTGACATTTTTTGGGAAAATCATATTTTATTTATTTGTTTGAATACCAGTAATAACCATTAAATCTTATACTATATAACGTGTGTTTCGCATTCAGAAAAAACAATCGATTTTCTCAATGTATATTTCTTTTAATTGAGAAAATGATAATCGCAATAGCATGATTTAATTTACTTGATGAATGAAAAATACATATACAAGTATATGACTTCATATTTATATATTTGCATTGTTATGTGAAATGCCAGGCATTTGTGTAAATAATGGAATAAATGTAAATAATCATAATATAAAACGAAAAATGCTGTATACCAAGCAATAGTTAATCTCTTTGTTAGCTATTTGTGGTCCTGAAAAGGACCGATTATTGATTTTATAATTTGGAAAATGAAGCGCTGAAATTTCAACTTATGCACGTTCACCACGAATACGTCTGGCCAATTGAATGTCCTTGGGCATGATTGTAACACGCTTGGCATGAATTGCGCACAAATTTGTATCTTCAAAAAGACCAACCAGATAGGCTTCGCTAGCTTCCTGTAATGCCATTACCGCTGAACTTTGGAATCGCAAATCAGTTTTAAAGTCCTGAGCTATCTCACGAACCAAACGCTGGAATGGCAGTTTGCGAATCAATAGCTCAGTGCTTTTCTGGTAGCGGCGGATCTCACGAAGTGCAACTGTACCGGGGCGATAACGATGTGGCTTTTTTACACCACCGGTGGCTGGTGCACTTTTACGAGCAGCTTTGGTAGCCAGCTGCTTGCGAGGCGCTTTGCCACCGGTCGATTTTCGGGCAGTTTGCTTGGTGCGAGCCATTATACAAGTATTTATTCCGTACTAATCTACTACACTGTATACACTGTCACTGATGAAAACACAATATTCGTATTGCTTGCTTTGCGCCTTCTTTATATAGAAATTTGGCCGCACAATGCGATTGGTGGTTGTTTGAACGAGATGTGCGAAAGAGAGATAGGAAGATTATCCGACGAGCGTATGTGGCCGCAACAAAGCAAAGTATTGCGTGATAACATTCAGGGTATCACAAAGCCAGCTATCCGTCGTTTGGCTCGACGTGGCGGTGTAAAACGCATCTCTGGCTTAATTTATGAAGAGACCCGTGGTGTGCTCAAGGTGTTTTTGGAGAATGTTATTCGTGATGCTGTCACCTATACGGAACATGCCAAAAGGAAAACAGTCACAGCTATGGATGTTGTATATGCATTAAAAAGACAAGGCCGCACCCTTTACGGTTTCGGCGGTTAAGAAGTTACATTTGCCCAAATGTGCAAATAAAGAAAACAATCGGTCCTTTTCAGGACCACAACATATATTTTTAAAAGAGAAAAATATTCAAATCATACTTTTATTTTACAAAAAGCTGTACAATCGATACTCTTCATTTATATTTTCATAATATATTGAACCTTTTCAGGACCACAACATATTTTTTTAAAAGAGAAAAATATTCAACTCATACTTTTATTTTACATACGCATATTTAAAAAAACAAAACATATTGTACAGCTTACATTCCATCCATTTATATTTTCATAATTTAGGAGTAAAATATGGCAAACGTTGGCAGTGTTAAAAATTCGAGTATAAATACTTGCACTCAAGTAATTATTATACGTATTGACCAAATTCAAAAGGGATAAAAAATACTTTCGAATTAAAAATATATAATACGCATTATATACATACAAGTAGTATATTCTACGGTTCATGACATGCTGCCCGACCAAATGCTAAGCCTTCATATTTATACTTTATTCAAATTCACGTTGTATGATGATGAATTAAAATCTCTTCTGAATTAAATTGGTCGTCCTGAAAAGGACGGTTGGTTTTATATACAGTATTGTTTTTATTTATTAAAGGTTGCCGCCAATTTAAGCCTTCTTTTCGGTCTTTTTAGGTAAAAGCACCGCCTGGATGTTAGGTAGAACACCACCCTGAGCAATGGTTACGCCCGAGAGGAGCTTGTTTAACTCCTCGTCATTACGAATAGCCAGTTGCAGGTGACGTGGAATTATGCGCGTCTTTTTATTATCGCGTGCTGCATTGCCAGCCAACTCCAGAACTTCAGCGGCTAAATATTCCATAACAGCAGCCAGGTAAACAGGAGCGCCGGCACCAACACGTTCAGCATAGTTACCCTTGCGAAGCAGGCGGTGGATACGGCCAACTGGGAATTGAAGGCCAGCTCGATTCGAACGCGACTTTGCCTTTCCCTTTACTTTACCACCTTTACCACGACCAGACATTTTCTATATTTTTTTTTTATTTCACAAATACACTTCTCACTGGCTCACTGGTTCACTGGCTCACACACAAATGTTGATGTCCGACCAAGTGTTAGGCCTTTATATTTATACTTTTTTAAGCATCATATACGCTCTGCTAAGGGTTGGACGGCTTCTTATAAGTTAAACCTGAAGGCGATGTTAAACAAAAAATATACAAATATGTAGCAATTCAGTGGTAGAAAAATATTGCTAAAGCAACTGTGAAGTGTTGTGTTATTTTAACTCAAGTGAATTAAATTAATCTGAAGTGAAAAATGCCGCCAAAGACCAGTGGAAAGGCAGCGAAAAGGCTGGTAAAGCCCAGAAAAATATAACCAAGAACGACAAGAAGAAGAAGCGCAAGAGGAAGGAGAGTTATGCCATCTACATATACAAAGTTCTGAAGCAGGTTCATCCTGATACAGGCATTTCATCGAAGGCAATGAGCATCATGAACAGTTTTGTGAATGACATTTTCGAGCGCATTGCTGCTGAAGCTTCCCGTTTGGCCCACTATAATAAACGATCGACAATAACGAGTCGCGAAATCCAAACGGCAGTCCGCCTACTTCTGCCCGGTGAATTGGCTAAGCACGCCGTAAGTGAAGGCACCAAAGCCGTTACCAAGTACACCAGCTCAAAGTAAATGTCTGATCGCCCGCTTCATAGCAGCAACAACGTTCCAAAAGGCCCTTTTCAGGGCCATCAAATTTTTCATAAGCAGAGTTAATAATTTTCATACATTTCTTTTAAATAAAATTACATGGCACCCCTTTACTGTGATAAAAACAAAATCTATTATAATGGGGCGAACATATATATTAATATAACTATTTTGGTCAATATTTATAAACAAACTATTTTTACAAATCATATCGTTCACCTATATGATATGCAGTTCTTATTGCTTGAAATCGACTGAAACAAAACAATTTTTAGTCACCCATTTTTATGAGAATCGTGGAGGAGGACCGGACCGTATACAATCCATTGTACTTGCATCAGCTAAGTTTATCGTAATTTGCTTCGAAAAATGATTAAAATTATTTATTAATTTTATTAATATACGTTTTTTTTTAAACTTTTGTGCTCAAAGTGAAACATTTTTCAAGTCTCATTATTTTTGTTACAAAATTAACTAACAATTAGGGTCTAAAACCATTTGTAACAGTTTTAAACAAAAATTGTTAAATTTTTCATACATATACTTGTAGACCTAGAAGTAATAACAAATATATTACAAATTAGAAAAAGATAAGATATTTGAAACCAATTTAATCACATTTGAAATTATTTTTTCTCTTTCTTAGTTGTTTGTGCCCTGAAAAGGGCTTTGTTTCAAATTGAATTTTTATATTTGCATATACAAAATTTCACATATGCATTCATTTCTTGACTACTGCTGGTCTTTGCCTTTTGGCGGAAGCTGCAGCCTTGGTTTTTTCGGTGCCGATGCTGTCTTCTTTGGCTTGGCACTAGTATAGTAGTTTGGCCTTTGGAGTTTTTGGTTTTACAGCACTCGATTTAGGCTTCGATGTAGTGGATTTTGCCTTAACTGTACCAGTTTCTTTGCGTCTTTTGCTTTGCCTTCTCCTTTGTCTTTTCTCGGCAGTCTTTTTAGTGGCAGCAGATTTTTTAACTTTAGATTTCTTGTCACCGGCTGCAGAGGCCTTTTGGCGACGCCGCTCGACTTCTTTTTAGCGCTCCAGATGGTGCAACTTTTTTCTTATTTT